AAAGTGTAGGGAAAGAAGAATTGCAAACTTGATTTTATACTGGTTCGGCCAATCCTGCCTACATCCAGTCCTCAAGTCTCCCACTTGAGATTTCCACTACTCTTGTAAACCTTACAAGAAAATGAATCCTCCAACACCTCGGAACTCCCTTTCCTTGTGTTGAGATTCAAACACCAACAAGGAGAAAAACCCTTTCTCCTTTACAGATCCAATGATCTATTAAGTATTACAGAATGACTCTCTTGAAGAGTGGATATTACACTTTCATGATCTTTGATGAACTCTTTAGAGATTTTGCAAATGATTTTGGCCAAGTGATTTGTAAAGATTATTTTCACAATAGAGTTCGTCACCTTTCTCTGAAAAATTATAGGTATTTATAGACAATTGTTTCTTGGGTTATGTCTTTTCATGAAGAGTTGTAACTCTCTATAATTTTTCAGAAAATAGGCTCTGGTAATCGATTACAAGACTTGGTAATCGATTACAACGGTTAAAGTTCAAAATGATTGAAACGTTGTATAATTCAAATTCAAATTTTAAAATTTTCTCTTCTGGTAATCGATTACCAGTCATGGTAATTGATTACCAGAGACCATTTAACATTTCAATTTTGAACATAGAAGTTTCCATCCTCTGGTAATCGATTACATGCCCTGGTAATCGATTACCAGACTGATAATACTAAAATTAGCTTTATGAAAACTTAAGATATTGAAAGCTTTTATTTTCCAGTTAAGAATATTTTTGTTTAATCTTTTGAATACTCTTTTGCTTTCTTTTCAAACCACTTATTCTTATATTCAAAAAGATTAAGTTTAGGTTTTCTTGAAATCCTTATTTTAATGGCCAAGTGAAATTTGCAAATTCTAAAAGTTCATTTTACATACTAAGCTAAGCAGTCAAGACTTATCTAGTTATTATTTGAGATCTTGCTTCTTGATCAGCTTGCTTTAACTTGACCTTTATTTTCTTCAATACTTTGGCATCATCAAAACTTTGTTCATATTTTCTTTCACACTTTGTCTTTCTACTCGGTCACCAACATAGTATGCATGATAGTAACCCGCTAACTTAAAATATTTTGTTTTCTCATAGAGCAAACTTAGGTTAGTAATTCTAGTAAGATATCTTCAAAATATGTTTTATTGCTTTAAGATGAAACTTTATGGGATCAGATTAAAAACATAAACATAGACATATAATGTACATGATGTTGGGTCTACTAGCAATAAGATACAATAGTGAATTAATCATACCTTTGTAGATCATCTAATTTACTAGTTTACTAGATTCTTCTTTTGATAGACCTACAAATGGATACATAGATATTGGCATAAGTTTGTAGTTATTCATCTTGAATTTTGTCAAAAGTTCTTTTGTATACTTACGATGCCTTCATTTGTTTGCTTGATATGTAGTCTTAGAAAGAACTTGAGTTCATTCATCATGCTCGTTTAAAACTTTGTCTATATTAGCTTGGAAAAGAGTTGTGTCAACATTGTTTCTCATAAAATCATTATTGATTAAGAAATTGTTTAATCTATCATACCAAGCTTTAAGAGTTTGCTTAAGACCATAAAAGACATTCTTGAGTTTAAAAAAAAAAATTTAAAGCTGAATTTCAAATCTGGGAGATTGCTAACATAGACTTTCTCTTCAATAATTTCATATTAAAATACCTTTTTTATGTCCATTTGAAAAAAATATATATCTTTATGAGCTGCAGAAGTTAACATGATTCTAATGGTTTCAAGTCTAGCAACAAGTGCAAAATTTTTAGTGAAATCTATTCTTCTTGCTGATTATAGCCTTGAGATACTAATCTTTGTTGTATTCCTTACCACCTTACCTTGCTCATCTAGCTTGTTTTTGAAGACCCATCTAGTTCCAATTGTACTTTTATGTCCAAGCTTGAGAACAAGTGTCCAAACATCATTTCTATCAAACTAGTAATTTTCTTCTTACATAGCTAAAATCTAGTCATTATCTTTAAGAGCTTCATCAATTGTCTTTGGCCCAATTTCCAAGACCAGAGCATAGGAAACATTATCTTTGAAAGAAAAGCTTGCTCTTATTATTTCGGTCCCATCCTTGAGAATTTGATCTTGTAGATGATAGTTGATGAACTTTCAATCTCTATTAGATTATCACTAAATTGGTTCATTTGCCTTTAGATTAAGCAACTATATGGTCCTTTGCGTTTGACTCAATAGTATTCTCAGGTTCAATATGCAAATTTTTCTTCTTGATCTAATAGTTTCCTATCATTTGGTAAAGTGTCATTAAATTTCACATGGATTGATTCTTCAACAATAGAGGTTTTAGAGTTAAAGAGTCTATATGACTTTGAAGTATTAGAATATCCAAGTAAAACACCCTTGTCCATTTTGGAGTCAAACTTTCTAGATTAATCTTTACGTATTATTCATATCCAAATAGAAAAGAGCCACATTCAACTGAGGTCTTATTGATATTTTGTTTTGAATGTAACAAGTTGTATTTATTGCTTTTGCCCATAAGTGTTTTGGTAAAGAGTTTTCACAAAGAAGATGTTTAGCCATTCTTGTAAAGTTCGATTCTTCCTTTTAACTATCCCATTTTATTGAGGTGTTTTCGATGAAGAGAAGTTGTGGAAGATATCATTCTTTTCACAAAAAAATTTAAAATATACATTTTCAAACTTAGTTTCATGATCACTTTTGATGGCACTTATGCCAAAAGTTTTTTCATTTTAAATCCTTTTACAAAATATCTCAAAGACATTGAAAGACTTATGTTTGTGAGCAAGGAAGTATATCCATATATATATATATATATATAGAATAGTCATCTATAATGGAAGTCTATAATTTTTACCTCCGAGACTAAAAGTTCTAATCGGTCCAAATAGATCTATGTGTAATAGTTCTAGCAGTCGAGAAGTAGAAACAATATATTTAGATTTTAATGATATTATAATTTGTTTCCTCTTCTAACAAGTTTCATAGAGATGATGAGTTTCCTAAGAAATCTCAATTAATCCTATTAGTAAACCTTTCTTATTTAGTTTAGAGATATGTCTAAATTTATGTGCCTAAGCTTTTTATGCCAAATTCATCTTTCATCTAGTGTTATCAAAAAATGGTTATAACTCCATCATAACCATATGGTTGGGCAGTTTTGGGCCTTGCTGCCATTCACCATTTGTCATATGGCATTTTATGGTGTCGTCCGCCATTTTCACCATAACTGGTGTCATGGCTGTTTCAACATGATACATTATGAAGGTTATGGCAAACGTTATGGATTGTAATGTGTCTAGGATTTATGGGGCCAATATTGGGCTTTGACCCAGGCCCTTTTTGAGTGCCCCTAATGGTTTTGGGGTTTGAGAGTGAGAAACAGAGCCGCGACAACCAGCCAATCAAATGCACTTTTTGTGACCTTGAATTCATCTCTGGTGACGTTCCTTTGTTGTCACCCACCACTTGTTGGTCACCTTTCCGGCCGGCGACCTGAATCGTAGTGGTCTAACACTTCGACGAGCAACAACAAAAGTGAATGAGATGTGCGAATGAAACTTATGGAAGTCAAAACCATCCTTGATCACCTTCGTTCACCGTCACCCACCACTTCTTGGTCACCTTTCTGGCTGATGATTTGAATCATGGTGGCCCAACACTTCGGCGAGAAACTTTAGCAACCATAACCAAACTTAAAACTTGAACAAGTTTTTCCCCAGTTTTAATGCTCCTTCTTCCTTTAGTTTTTCCTACTTCTTCGAGTCCTTTCTTAATGAGTTTATTGTTGCATCTGCAACAACATTGTTTTAAAATCCTAATTCTTCTACCAATTGGGTCAATTTAAATTCCTATTTTGTCCTAAACTCTAAGACTAACATTGAATTCCTATTTTATTATTGTTCTTATTCTTACTTTTATGACAATGTCTAGCAATGCTCTTCAAAGTCAGACATCCTCAAACTCTGTTAAGAGGACAGATATAGGATGAAAACATTGTCATCCTACCACTAGTGGAAAAAAGACTTTTAAAATCGGTTTCTTAACCGATCTTAAAAGAGCCGATTTTAAAAAGTTAGACTTTTAAAATCGGTTATCAACCGATCTTAAAAGTGCATTTTTATGATTGGTTGTTTCATAACAAATCTTAAAAGTCCCAACTTTTATGATCAGTTAAAAAATAACTGATCTTAAAAACCTTAGTTTTTAAAATCGGTTATGACACAACCGATCTTAAAAGTGGTGAATTTTTGTTGAATGTTTGACTTGTTTTGGGAGCATCTTAGAACAAAACTTGCAAATGAATAAATACCAGATAGATCAAAGCTTCAATTAACAAAAATATCTATATTTTCTATGTTACTTCTCAATGAACCAAATTGCATACAAATGAGAAGAGATGATAAATGTCAACCATATATATAATCAAATAGTTTTAAATACATGTAATACATAAATGGACCACGTTGCTCAATGAAATGTAAGTCCTAATTAGTCAAAGCAATACTATAAAAACATAATCACAAACTAGTTAATGTAATGGTCAATAAAAAATGTGGCCCATTGCGGGATAATGAAGTATCTGTTTTTTGTTTTTCTTTATGGCTCTTTTATATATTATGATTATTCCCTTTTGTTATGCAGGGATAATTTTAAATTTATATTATTTTTGGCATTTGTTGAATTTAAAATTATATGGTTTCATAAAACTATCTTTCAATTTTCTGACTTTATATGTATTAGTAATTGTTAAAATCCTAGACTACAAACATGGTCCTTAAGTAGTGACATAAAAAGCCTATTAATATCACGAAAACAAGTTGAAATTAGCCCAGAGAAACAACATACCTCGTGAAATCTAGATTCTTCTAGATTGGAATTAAAAGAAAATTTTTTTTTAAAAAAAGAAACAGTAGACTACAAACAGATGGACTTCGGTAGTTAACATCATGCAATATACTTGGGGTTCGGGGATATAACAATAACCATGTGAGTTGCTGATGCCAACTAGTTTCACACTTTTTTATATTGAAATTTAGATCGACCAATAAAGTTACTAGAAACTACCATAAGTACACAATCATAAGCACTCCCCCCGACTTTTCCCTAGAGATCATAACACCAATGGAAATTACTGCAAGAATCAACAGAAATCCTACAAAAAAAAACCTTTCAAGAAAGGAGAAGACAACTGAAAAACATTTGAAACTTATTTCAGGAGCATACCTAAGCATCTTTTTTTAGATTGAAAAGAAACCATCTACATTTTTGCACACTTTATCCATGCATCAAACTGATTGAAAGAAAATACCATCATTAGATGTAAACCACCACAGAATCTCCCAATATAACAACAAAAATAGGTCAAACACCTCAAATACATAACAACAATCATGATTTACATGGATATTTCTAAAAAGATTGAAACGATGTAACTCACCAAATGCAGAAGTAGTAACACTAGAAACTGCTGACATTGATGACTTATTTACGAAGGCAAACCCAGTCCCAAAAGAAGTAGTGGACGACGTGCTTCCAACGCCAAATCTTGTAAAAAGATGATCCTCCACTGGAAGAAGATGCAACAGGAGCCGCGAAAGCACTCGCAACAGCAGAAGAATCCGCGGATGCACCAAAGGCAGGCACAGACAACGAGAAGGTCGTGCTCCCGATGCCCATGGTTGCCTTCAACCCTCCTGCATCCCAGAAAATCAAAAAATTATGAAACCCATCATCCATTCTTTGGGTTTCCATTTCATTCTTCCTTACGACAAGGTTCATAATCCCAAAGGAATTATCCAAATGAGAGTACAAATTTGTGCTCTTAGAGTCGTGGCTTGAAAAGAACCCTAACGTGGCAGGGTTCAAGCTATAATCAAACAAGAACATACCTTATGGGAGTACAAATTTGTGCGACGAACTCGTGATGAACAACAACGATAATGAATGGCCAGCTACAACGAATGATAGAGTACAAATTTGTGCGACAGATAGACCTACAGGGAGAAGGGAAGATGCGAGACAGAGTACGACTCAGAATATGAGTGAAAACAAAAGGGCCTATGCAAATTTGAGCAGGGTATTTAAAATCGGTTTATTGAAAACCGATTTTGTATAGTGCAAACAAAATCAATTCCAAAAGAAACTGATTTTTTATAGACCATACAAAATTGGTTCTTTGTGAACCGATTTTAAAAGACAAAGACACTATATTTTTTAAGATCGGTTAAAAGTTAACCAATTTTAAAAGACCTTAAAATCGGTTAACTTTTAACTGATCTTAAAAATGGTAGCATTATTTACAAAAATGTCATCGTGTCTTTTTTAAAATCGGTCCCCTGTTAACCGATTTTAAAACCTTGTTCTTAAAAGCATTTTTTGCACTAGTGTACTAAAGAGAATGATACCAATGAAATTGTTTGTAATTATTGTCAAAAAATCATGAAAGGGGGAATTACAAGAGGAAAGTAACATCTAATGGGAAAGAAGGGAAATGTTGCACCTTGTCAAAGTTGTCCCAAGGAGGTTAGAGATTAGTTGTGGGCACTCGAGAAAAATAAGAAGATGAAAGAGAGTGAGACATGCCAAAGAGTAGTGGAAGATGTGACTCTTGATAGTGAAGATTATACATTGAAGGGAGATTTTAGAGAACTAGAAGCTGAAACACTTGGTGCCAATGAGAGGAAGAAGCTTGCTATGAAGAAGGGTCTTATTGATTTTTTTTGTAAATGACCGAAAACAAAAATTGCAAGAAACAAAAAGAAGAAATTGAAGCAAACAAGTATAAGAGAGAATTGTGACAAGGAAGCTACAACAAGGGTCCACCAATATATAACTTGATTTTGGTATCAAGTTGGATTATCTTTTAACATGGTTAAATTGGAGAGGTTACATGACATGGTTGTGACACCCTTACTACCCCAACACATATACTGTAACTTTACAAATAAATGTTTAAATTTCGATAAAAGGGTTCACATGAGAAACTTCAAAAATTGTTCTTCAATAACCACAATAATAAAGATTTAGAAAATGAAACACAAGAGTTTACAAATTATTTTCAAAATGATATTTACAATTCCAAATTCATATAAAAATTTCGTCCTAAAAGTCCTCTGCCCCGATGTCACAATATCAGAGTATACTCCTAATTTAACTGTTGGCATTCTAGATGCCACTCGCAGCTGAATCCTCCTCACCTAAAACATCCACAAAATTATACGGTGAGAAAAGAAAACATCTATATGTAAAGTACATACAAACACACAACATATCATCTTATTATAACTCGATACTTAACAAAATATTCATAAACATTTCAATGTATCGTAACTTTATCAATCGTGCATCATCATAACGTCACAATTCGCAATCACAACAATCATCAAAAATCTTGCAATCAACCCTATGCCAAGGTCACGCCTATAGCATCTCTTGCCTAAGGTCGTGCCACCCCCAACATAAGTATTAATTGCCTCACACATCCCACACCATGCCAGGGGTACGGTCGTCCTTTACCCAAGGTTCGTATCATCCCTGGCCATTAGTGCGAGAGACCACAATCACATCACAATCACATCACAATCAATCCATCACAATCCACATCAATCTTACGACTAACAATATCATTTCCACATCCATAATTCAAGCCAATCTTACAATTAACACTATGCCAAGACCTCGCCACATCTGACACAAGTGATACGGGTTAATTGCCTCACTCAACCCACACCATACCAGGGTTCGTATCATCCCTGATCATTTAGGAGTACGCTCGTCCCTGAAGCATCACCTACCCAGGGTTCGTATCATCCCTGATCATTCAGGAGTACGCTCGTCCCTGAAGCATCACCTACCCAGGGTTCGTATCATCTCTGATCATTCAGGAGTACGCTCGTCCCTGAAGCATGAGTGTGAGGAACCACAATCACATTACAATCCATATAATCTTTTGCAATTAACCCTATGTCAGGGCTGCCATAATCGACATAAGTGGTGTGTGTTAACTGTCTTACTCATCCCACACCATGCTAGGGTCACGCCCTTCCTGTAGCACCACTTACCCAGGGGCTGTGCCATCCCTAGTCATTAGTGCGCGGAAACACATCGCAATCACATTAATTCTTAATCATGTCCATACCACATCTGATCTCATATCACGATTTCATATCACATACACAATTTGATATCACATACTCAACAGATAAGTCTAACAAAATAAGCGTTTACACATCCCTCATGCAATTCACCATGAATACTCATTATAACTAATATAACAATAATATAAAACTCAATCAATTCCCCAGTTTAATAGAATATTAAATCAATAGAATTACCAATTTAATATAACATTCATAAATGTAATAATAATCAATGGAATTATCAACATAAACAATAAAACCCCTAATTATTCCAAAACCTAGCTCATAGGCACTTTTCTACAGTTTCATTCTCCCTCTCAGATCATCATTCTTACAAATGAAATATGTATTTCTAATCCTCAACACATACAGAATCTAATGGGGTCATTAATTCCTCAAACAGAAATAATCTAATTTAGCCCAAAACCTAACTTACAGACACTTTTCTATAATTTCGTTCTCTCTTCCCGAGCGTCATTTTTACAAACAAATCATATATTCGTAGTCCTAAATATATACAGAATCACATAAGATAACTAATTCTCCAAACAGAAATAATTATAAAATTACTCATAACTCTAAGGGTTCTTCCTCTACCCAGTTCCCTCATGTAACTCTACATATAAATAATTTCCATTTTCCCCCGTACCTGGATAAACAGCAGTTAAAACTACAACAGGGATCTCTTGGTCTCCTCCTCTAAGTGCCCCATGGTCTTCAGAGAAAAGAAGAGGGGAAGAAGAAAGAATAGAAGAGAATAGGAAGAAAGAATGAGAGATGTGAGAAAATGAGAGGTAAGGCCTCCTATTTATAGGAATCTGCCTCAGCTAACCCGGAACGGCCTGTTCCAAAAGTGGAACGGTCGTTCTGGACCCTCCAGAACCAAGCAAAAATCTCAACTGGAACGGCCCGTTCCAAAACTGGAACGGCCCGTTCTCAAACCCAGCAGAACGACCCGTTCCAGTTTCAGAACGGCCCGTTCTCCAAACCAGAACAGCCCATTCTCCAACTGGAACGGCCCTTTCTCAATTACGTTTTTGGGCAAATTCTTTATTCCGGAACGGCCCGTTTCACTTTTGAAACGGCCCGTTCCAGGCAACGAATTGGGTCCAATGCCCAATGAAAATTGGGCTATTACAATGGTTGCAACTATTGGATTTTTTGGACCGCATTTGCGACCTCTATCTTATCATGAGATAAGAGTTCCACTTCTCCAAAAGGAGGTGGATTATACTAATAATTTGATGAAGAGTTAAAAACAACAATGGGCTAGTTTTAGGCGTTCTATTATGTCAGATGCTTACACGGATAAGAAGCAAAGATGCATAATTAATTTTTTGGTGAACTTTTCTACATGGACAATGTTCATCAAATTTGTTGATTGGTCTAATTTTATGAAAACTAGAGAGAAGTTATTTGAGTTACTTGACTCTATTGTAGAGGAGATTGGAGAGGAAAAAGTTGTTCATGTCATCACATTTAACGGAAGTAACTATGCACTTGTTGCCAGGATGTTAGAGGAAAGAAAGACCCAAAATTTATTGGACTCCATGTGTAGCACATTGCATAGATTTAATGTTGGAGGACATTGGAAAGCTTCCCAATATTAACAATACAATATTCAACGAGGAATCTCTCTTGTTGGCTTTATTTAAAGCCATTCAAGTACTTTAAGCTTGTTAAGATTTTATACAAACAAAAGGGAGCTAGTGAGGCATGTAGTGACTTGATTTTCAATCTCTTTTCTTTCCTTGGAAAGGATCCACCAAGAAAAATCAAATTTAAGAAAGATATTTGTTTCGGATGAGTGGAATTCAAACAAGTTGTCAAAGCAAGCAAAAGGAAGAGAAGCAAGTAAAACTATATTAATGCCTTCTTTTTGGAGGAATGTGGTATATATACTTTTAAAGTCATGGCTCCTCTTGTGAAAGTACTTAGGCTTGTTGATGGTGAGAAAAAGCCAACTATGAGCTATATATATGAAGCTATGAACAAGGCAAAGGAATCTATTATGAAGTCTTTTAATAACAATGAGGCCAAATATAAAGTAATGTTTGAAATTATTGATAGAAGATGGAATGTTTAGCTTCATCCCCATTACATGCAGCTGGTCATTTTTTGAATCCATAGTTGTTTTATGACAATCCTCAAATGGAGTTTGATAGTGAAATTATAAGGGCCTTATATGCATGCATCAATAAGTTGGTGGGAGATTTGAAAGTGGAGTAGAAAATCATGTTGGAGCTGGACACTTTTAAAGTTGCAGGAGAAATGTTTGGAAGTGAAGTTGCTATATCAATGAGGAAAAAGGTTTCACCAGGTAAGAAACAAAGCATTTAATAATTTTAAACTTCTATTCTACTATTTTCTTAAGTGTTTAACACACTTTCTTTGTCTTTGTATCTCAATGGTGGAGACTATATGGTTCATCAACCCCTAATTTACAACAACTAGCTATAAAGATATTGGGCTTGACTTGTAGTTCATCCAGTTGTGAACGTAATTGGAGTGTCTTTGAGCAAGTAATTAATTTTCTTTTTAAGAGTCAATAATTAATTCCAAATTTTCTTATAATGTTTGCTTAATTATTTAACTTAATGTTACAAATTCATACTAAGAGGAGGAATAGGCTTGAGCATAAAAAAATTACATGACTCGGTCTGTCAAGTATAATCAAGCACTGAAGCGAAGATAAAATCTTAAGGATGAAGTTGATCCCATTAGCCTCAATGATATTGATGAATCTAATGAATGACTTGTTGAAAAGATGGATGGGGATGATGATGATGAAGCTCAAGATGAGAGGGTTTTTGATGGAGATGATCCACTTACTTTGGGAGATGTTTATAAGGCTTTAGGGGTTGGAGAACCTATAATGTATACTAGGCGTAAAAGGAAGCAACCTCCAAGTGGGGAAGGAGCA